CTGCGCCCACTGCTCACAGGGCCCGCCATCTCCGCTCCGCAGCTGCACCATGCGTGAGATCGTGCACATCCAGGCGGGCCAGTGCGGCAACCAGATCGGCGCCAAGGTGGGCGCGCACCCGGGAGGGGCCGGGCAGAGGACCCGAGGGTGCGAGCCGGAGCGGGAGCGCTGGGAAGGGAGCTGGGTGGAGGACCGAGAATACCGGCTGGAGCCAGGGGTCGGTGCGCAGGGATAGGCGGCGAGGTGGGGCGAGACCCCTGAGGGTGCAGGCCGGGGGTCTGGCCCGGGCGCGGGGAAACGGAGGCTCCGAGCCCGCAGGGCTGCGGATGGGTAGGTTCCGCGGAGCTAGAGCAGAGCAGTGCCCAGGAAGCCGCCCAACCTGCCACGATGCGCCACGACGCAGCCGCGTGCCTTGCAATAGAGGCCCTTTTAAATTTCCTTTGACCCAACATTTACGCGAGACATAATTGGCATTCCCCTCGGGAATAGGAATCTCTGTAATTTGGATAGGGGCTATGGTCATATTGATCCAGTGGCCTCAATGAATTAAATTAGTATACTTTTGTCTGCCACTGAATAATAATAATTAAAAAAATGCAATGTCATTGGGGTGATATGTTATAGAGGCATCTCGGTAGGGTTACACAGAAGAGGATGTTAGATTATTTCTCTCAATATGGACACCATCTACAAAGGACAGAATTCCCTTAGGATCTTCTTTGGTGTCTCCGGAGGCAGGGGTTGATGTAAAGCGGCTGTACATCACTGAGTGGGGTGCAAGGAGTCAGCCTGGTGTGGGTGTGAGCGCGCGTCAGTGCAAGGACGAAGTCTCTTTCAAGACCGCCATATTGCCCCCCCAAGCCTCCCCGCCCCTTTCCTGCTGCGGGTTCACAATGGAACCTTCACCACACCAGGGTCAGCTCCTCCACCGCCCCTTGTCCTCCCGTGACCCTGCCTGCCTGTCTTCCTCAGTCTTGGTGTGGTCGGTGCCCGGAGGCCAATCTGTCCTCAGAGACATCAGTCTGTGCTGCTCAAGCGGCCTGGGAGGGGTTTCCTGGCAGCTAGGGCAGGCTCACCTGGTTGTCAAACTGCCAGGGCCATCTATCAGCTGAGACTCCCTGACATTCAGCCCTGTCCCAGGAGGGGGGAGACTCCAGCCTCTTGGAGGGGACTGCAGTGCCCACCTCCTCCTGCAGGGCCACTCCCTGCTTGCAGTCTGTCTCCATAATATGGCTGATGCGCTGCGGATTTCCCAGCCCCTCAGCAGCAGCAGCTGCTGGAGGAACTGGGGGTGTGCAGCTATTTTCTCTCTGCCCAGGACTCACTAGCTATATGACCACAATGGCTGCTGTTAAAGGAGGAGGAAGAAAATGACCATGGTGAATGACTTTCAGGAGACCATACTATTATGTCACTTTTTCCTTTTTTAATTTCAGTTTTGGGAAGTCATCAGTGATGAGCATGGTATAGACCCCACTGGCAGTTATCATGGTGACAGTGACTTACAGCTGGAGAGAATCAATGTCTACTACAATGAAGCTGCTGGTAATTATTTGAACATTTTTTGTCTAATCAACCTTGCTTTCCACATTGTGGAAGCATACGTATTTGGAACATACATGTGACAAAGAAATGCTTCTTACATTCATTTTAATGCCACCTACTAAAGAATACGCCTTATCATTCTTTAAGACTCGTGCATGTTTGATGTGGCTAAACATGCCAAGTATCTCCTTTTTGAAAGCAGAGAAACCCAGTTCTCCTACTTTTGTCTCAGCTGCTGGAATTTTCCCTTTTGAACTCAGATGGGCAAGCCACAGGGGTGAGGCACAGCCTTCTCCCATAATTACTTAGCTAGCTGCAGGTCTAATTCCAGCTTTTGTCCTGCTCAGGTAACAAATATGTACCGCGGGCCATTCTGGTGGATCTGGAGCCTGGCACGATGGATTCAGTCAGGTCTGGGCCATTTGGCCAGATCTTCAGGCCAGACAACTTCGTATTTGGTATGTATCATCAACAGTTGGGATTGGCTAAATGATTCACCTTCTTCCAAAACCATGAGCATCACAGTGCTGAGTGGTATGTGCTGAGGTGGAGGAATGTGCATCCACAGACATCCTGAGTCTTCGCCTCACTCCATCCAGTCCAGTGACTGCTTTCTGATCACTTTCTCTATAGCTCAAAGAGCAATTTTAGCTTGTAGTGGGCTGCCGCAGTCTTCCCATTAAACTTCTGAGGTTTAAGAATAAAGAGCAATGCGAGCACTTCAAACAATAATAGTTCATAGACTGCTGATCATTTTGAAGGACCAATGACCACAGGAAACCACTTAAAGAGACCAAAGCAAATTAAAAAAAACTCAAAACCAGTTAGGATTACTTACAACCAGTCTCTGCTGTCTGACCATCTGGTGCTTTTGCCCTTCCCTATTTAAATTTATATAACATGAGTATTTACATGAGGTCTGTATCCTCTGTTCTTAAAATTAAAAGCATTTAGGCTTATTAAACCTATCTGCTTTCTCAATTGCCTCATATGAATGAAATTTGCTTTTTCCTTCATTATGATTTCCAGTGTTTTTGAGGGTCACTGATAACATTGAAAAATATTTCTCTAGGTAAAAAGGGGGCATCAAAAAGAGAAGAATCTGCAACTCTAGGACTAGGCTTACTTTCTCCTCCAAAGTGAAATGGCAGAATTCAGAATTCCTTACATTTTAGCATCTAATCTTCTCCTTTCCCTCTGGCAGGCCAGAGTGGTGCTGGCAATAACTGGGCAAAGGGCCACTACACAGAGGGAGCAGAACTGGTGGACTCGGTGCTGGATGTGGTGAGGAAGGAATCTGAGAGCTGTGACTGTCTCCAGGGCTTCCAGCTGACCCACTCGCTGGGGGGCGGTACAGGGTCCGGGATGGGCACGCTGCTTATCAGCAAGATCAGGGAGGAGTATCCCGACCGCATCATGAACACCTTCAGTGTCATGCCCTCTCCCAAGGTGTCAGACACTGTGGTTGAGCCCTACAATGCCACTCTGTCTGTCCACCAACTGGTGGAGAACACGGATGAAACCTATTCTATTGATAATGAGGCCCTGTATGACATTTGCTTCCGTACCCTGAAACTGACCACCCCCACGTATGGGGACCTCAACCACCTGGTGTCAGCCACTATGAGTGGGGTCACCACCTGCCTGCGTTTCCCAGGCCAGCTGAATGCAGACCTCCGCAAATTGGCAGTGAACATGGTGCCCTTCCCCCGGCTGCACTTCTTCATGCCCGGCTTTGCCCCCCTGACCAGCCGGGGTAGCCAGCAGTACCGGGCCCTGACAGTGCCCGAGCTCACCCAGCAGATGTTCGACTCCAAGAACATGATGGCCGCCTGTGACCCCCGCCATGGCCGCTACCTCACTGTGGCTGCCATCTTCCGGGGCCGCATGTCCATGAAGGAGGTGGATGAACAGATGCTCAATGTGCAGAACAAAAACAGCAGCTACTTTGTGGAGTGGATCCCCAACAACGTGAAGACGGCTGTGTGTGACATCCCGCCCCGTGGCCTCAAGATGTCAGCCACCTTCATTGGCAACAGCACAGCCATCCAGGAGCTGTTCAAGCGTATCTCTGAGCAGTTCACGGCCATGTTCCGGCGCAAGGCTTTCCTGCACTGGTACACGGGTGAGGGCATGGATGAGATGGAGTTCACTGAGGCTGAGAGCAACATGAATGACCTGGTGTCTGAGTACCAGCAGTACCAGGATGCCACAGCTGATGAGCAAGGGGAGTTCGAGGAGGAGGAGGGTGAGGACGAGGCTTAAAAACTTCTCTGAATAAATTGTGCATCCTTAGTGAACTTCTACTGTTGTCCTCAAGCATGGTCTTTCTTTGTATACTATGGTGCTCAGTTTTGCTCTGTCAGAAGTTCACACTGTCAATATAATATGTGGAACTACTCTTAATAATTACGGTATTGTCTGTTAAGATATCTATACTAATAAAAAGCATGTGTCCAATGCATTGTGGTCTGTTCATTCTGACTTTTATAATTAATTTATTTTTACTATTTTTAAAGTATAAAGTTTCAGGGTTTAACAATTTTAGCAACAATATAGGATTTCTACTTTAATGCTTCATTAATAAACTTCCTGCCTTTTTAGTAAAACCAAAGCCAAACTCACTGCCATCCAGTCAATTCTAACTCATAGTGACACCCCCGTTGGATTTTCAAGGCTATAGATCTTTATGGAAGCAGACTGCCTTATCTTTCTTCCACAGAGCAGCTGATGGGTTTAAACCGCTCACCTTTTGGTTAGCGTCCAAACGCCTTAACCAGTACATCACCAATGATTCTGTATTATTCACTGGACTAAAGTGCTAAGGTAAGGGGACCTTTCAAAAGTGAACCAGGAACATAAAAAAGGAAATAAAAATACAGAAGTAATAAAGTGAACTAGGAGTGGAATAGTGATTTGGGAATAAAACAAACCGTATTTCCTTATTTGCTATAGCTCCGGGTACCCTATGGATCTGTAGAGCTAGGAACTTAGTTAAGGATTTTCCTCTACTTTTCTTTTTCCCTTTCATGTGATAAATATAAATAAAAAGAAAAGTGAATGCTTGTACTTCTCAGATAAAAGGTACAGTATAAATTCAAGGTGCCCTAAAATAGTAGTCATGAACACTATAAATATTTCACTCAACAAATTTATTTAAAAGTAAAATCAATGGTAGGGATTTATTTTTGAAGACATTGGTGGAAATTTTCAACTTAAGAGTCAGATCTAAGTTTTGTAGCTATTAAAACTAGAAGGTATTTCAGTATGTCATTATTCTTGATTTTAGAGTGATCCACATTTCATCGGGCAGTTTGTAGCAGGTGTGGAGAGCTCGGGAAGGCAGATAAACTAAGGTGGGACTCAGGTGGGATTTCAAAGCCAAGGATCTCAGGCAACAATGTGATCAGGCCCCACGCCAAAGAATCACCAGGACTCAACTTCTCAAGGACATTTCATTGTAGGAAGTCTTCCACTAGGTTGTTGAATTCATTTGCAAAACGTAAATGCAGGTTATGCTTCCCTTTGGGCATCAGATGTAACCTAGTAGCAAAACAAAGCTTTGGATCAGTGAGTGACACCATGTAAAAACCTCTTGCCCTCACAAACACCTTACAAAAATCTAAAGTGAAGAACTGCTCCCTGTCTCTTTTTCCAACAATATTGGGAAGAAAAACTTAAGTAGTATAAATTTTACATGAACACAGACATATGGTAGCCCTCAAGGAAAGCCTCTGGTTGTTATGACCAACATGCAGGTTGGCTGTAAAGCCCATCACTCAACAGTAACACAAAACACACATTGTATTTGGAATTGCATTATGGTTTGACTATAAAATTGAGAGGACTGTGATTTTGTGTTTAGTTTAAAAAAAAAAAAAAACCCAATTTTAATAAAATTGATTTTAACAGAAGGGTTGAAAGAATATAAAAAATAAGTACACCTGGTCTTACCTGTATAGTAAAGTTTCACAGATTAGGGGGTTATATGAAAACTGGCATGGGAAAATAGAGGATGACAACATCAGATCACAAAATAGACCATGACTAGGTCATTACACAACTGCCAAACCACTGAGAATCATGGCCCAGCCATATGTCTTTAATGCGCAAAATAATAGATTTTTAACTATTGTCATAAACACAAAATGTCAGATAATAAGATAAGTAAGAGTAGGTGTAAGAAGCAGGACCCACTGGATTGGGGGTGGTGAATTTCTTGGACTGTCTAGTGGGGAAACCCAAACCAGAGTCACAGCCACCACTGTGACTGCTGTTCAAGATTCCAAATCACTATTATTTTTGCAAAGCAGCATTTACAGCATGATGTGTTGGACAGACTGCGGATGTGTGTCTTCAGAGCTGTGGGCCCTTTGTTCAGGGGTTACTTAGGTGGCTGACACAGTGTGTCTATTGTGGCCAGCTTCACTGTCAACGTAAGGCTTCTTCCTTTCCACAGGTTTTGGTCAAATATGAGTGCTTTGCATTTGCTTTCATGAAAACATCCTTCTCTATTTTATTCATTAGCTATAAAAGCTCAGCAGTAACAAAAGTTTAAAACATCTAGGATAAAGTATAAGTTAAAGCTGTTTTGTCCACAATACTATTGGACATTAATATGCCTCATTCTCTTGATCTCTCAACAACGGGGCTAAGAGCTCCACAGCCTCAACAAGCCCTTGGGAAAAATAGGCTGGAGAATAGCAGTGTCTAAGGCATCTGACTGCTAACCAGGAGGCTGATGGTTCAAACCCACCAGCCACTCTTTGGAAGGAAGATTGGGCAATCTACTTTCATAGTGATACCACCTCAGAAACCCCAGGAGGGGTTGCTATGAGTCGGATCCGACTCGAGGGCAGTGAGTTTGGTTTGGTTTGTTTTTTAGGCAAGATGTGGGCCTCTTGCAACTCAACCACTGGGGAGAGGGGGAGAAACAAATTAAGACAATCTACTCGAAAGGAGGATATACTGTTGGCATCTTTTAGAGCTCTTGGGACTGTTAATAATAATAATCAGAAAATTCTGTTGTTGTTGTTATGTGCGGTCAAGTCGGACCCAACTCATAGTGACCTCCCTTGGGTTTCCGAGGCAGTATCACTATGGAAGTAGATTGCCCCATCCTCCTTCTTAGTAGTGGCGACATTCACTTTTAATGCTATTAAATTAAAATTAAAGATGAACTGCACCAACCCCAAAGGCAGGACCTTGGCTGTCCTACACAAGGACAGACCTTGCAGGACATGTCTAGGCTCAGTTGCATCCCCTAGTTTGTATTAAGCTGGATTCCAAGGCAGGAACCCCAACCAGCTGAGCTGGCAGTCCTCTCGGGTGGATGCCCAATACTGAAGGAGAGACACCAGCTGTGAACGCCTTCCTTTTAGCCATTCATTGCTACCTGAAGCACCCTCCCTGCAGTCATCTCAAGACCTTGGTTAAACAAAAATGAGCTCCCTGTCATTATAAATATAGAAGACCCCTTTCTGAGGCATTGTTCAGAACTGCTTTGGACTTTGGATGGACAGATGGACAGATGGATGACGGTATGAAGAAAATTGCTCTTCTCCTTGATCTCATGCTGCTCATCTCAAGGTCCTTAGAATACTCTCCTCCTATAGGTCTGATGTGTATTCCTCTTTGGGACTGGTAACATGATAACCAAACCCAAATCCACTGAGTCAATTTCAATCATAGTGACCCTATAGGACAGAGTAGGGTTTCCAAGGCTGTAAATCTTTAAGGAAGCAGACTGCTTCATCTTTCTCCCATGGAGTGGCTGGTGGGTTCAAACTTCCAACCTTCTGGTTAGCAGTGAAATGCTTTAACCACTGCACTACCACAGCTCCTTCAGTATCATGATAACCAAAACAATCCAAACTCACTGCCACTGAGGTGATTCTGACTCATAGCAACTCCCAGTGGGTTTCCAAGGCTGAAAATCTTTACAGAAGATTGTCTCATCTTCCTCCCATGGACCAACTGGTGGGTTTGAACCACTGACCCTCTGGTTAGCAGCAAAATGCCTTATCCCCTATGCTACCAGAGCTCCTTCGTATCATAAGAGACAGTCATAAATGTATAGCTGTGAAGACAATGTAGCTACTCTTCTGGTGACTGAGACTGTCACCCAAATAACAAAAGACTCATCATATGTTCCTGGAGAGTGGTTTTCAAATAATCACATCCTCCAGGAAATGTAAGGGCTTCTGAGAGGGCAGGAGTCCTGTGTGGTGCAAATGGGTAACATGCTTGGCTGCTAACTGAAGGGTTGGCAGTTCAAGTCCACCTAGATGTGCTTTGGAAGAAAGCCTAGGCTATCTACTTCCAAAAAATCAGCCATTGAAAACCCTATGGAGCACAGTTCTATTGTGACACAAATGGGGTCACCATGAGTTGGAGTTGACAGCACCTGGTTTTCTGAGAGTGTGAGTTCCTGTTTGCTGGGCCAGGTTCTTCCCTGCATTTGGCACAGCTGGAAGAGCTGGTGGGTTCAAACCACTGACCTTTCGGTGAACAGCAGAGCCCTTAACCACTGTGTCATGAGGGCTCCTTTGCAAGAATTCCAGATGTTGAATTCCACAGTGTAAGTTCAGTGCTCATTTTCCTCCTGCTCCTGTCAATTGAGGTGGGTATGCAAATAAACCAGCAGCCCTGCTGCCCTGGGGATGTTACCTTTCCTTCTTCATTCTGACCTATTAAGCTCTGAGAGCTACAGATAGGGGCAAGGTAGTAAGTGATGTGCTGTAACATTTTTTTCTTCACTTTAATGTGATAAAACTCTAAAATTATGTACCCATAATGTTTCCCAGTAAGTCCGTGACCTTTTTTGTTTTCAGTTGAAAACCCAAAAAAGCTGCTGGCTCTTCACCTAGGTGCTCTTCCATTATGGGAACTGGGCAATAATGTGGCTTACAAGGTGTCCTTGTCACCCAACATCCTTTCAAGGCCATCTGCACCTGACTGCCAGCAACAGTCCCTTTTTATTCAGAAACTAGGAGCGATTATGGCTGTCACTGGTGCTGGAGCTGAACACCAACCCTGCCCTCAGCCTGGCCCCCACGCCCAAAGTCAAGCATCCCCCAGAGGTGTGCTGAGGGCACTAGGGGCCCTACCTAGCTATGAAGCCGCGTCTTCCTCTGAGTTGGCAAAATCCTCCACCTCCATGGCCACTTATCCAACCTCTAAGGGTGTGACAGGTCAACCTCCGCTCAGCTAGAATCTCTGAAAGTAAGGCTGGGCTGGATCTATGGGTAGTACCAGTCTGTGACAGAGAATAGTGGAGAGCAATATGTTGATACAGGAGTGAGGAGTGGATGTGAAGATGGGAAAGGGCTGGGTCAGGATAAGGAAAACCACTGTTTCAGAGTAGCTCATACTTTGTGTTTTATATATTTTCGGACTTCTGCATAGGAGTTGAAGGAGCTCTGGTGGTGTAGAGGCTAAGGCATTTGACTGCTAACCAGAAGGTTGGTGGTTCAAACCCACCAGCTGCTCCACACAAAGATGAGGCAATCTACTTACATAATGATTTACTGTCTTGGAAACCCAATTTGTTATGAGTCAGAATCGACTCAATGGGAGTGGCTTTTTTTTTTTTTTTTTTTTTGAGTAGTAAAGAGCCCTGGTGATACAGTGATTAAGTGCTTGTCTGCTCAACAACAGGTCAGCAGTCTGAACCCACCAGCCACTCCGCTCTGTGGGAAAAAAAAAGACCTGGCAATCTGCTCCGGTAAAGATTTACAGCCTTGGAAACTCTGTGGGGCAGTTTCTACTCTGTTCTATAGAGTCACAATGAGTCAATCAACTTGACCACATGGGTGTGGTTTTTTTGGTTTTACATAGGGGATTATTAGGAGAAAGCGTTCAACTGCCTAGAAATAAATTTTAATATCACTGTGGTAGTTAAAGTTGTATATCAACTTGCTTGGGCCTGGTTGAGTGGCTGGGCAGCTGGTGGTAGTTATTCCCCATGATGAGACTGGCAATCACCTCCAGGGTGGGATCTACCACAAGCAGCTGAGCAGCTGCCTTAGGGATGTGGTCTGCTTCCCATATATAAGCAGCAGCTTTGGGAATGGTCTCTAGCTTATGGCATGTCTGAACCCTGCATGCAGCTGTGTTGTTGTTCAGCAGCCTGCCATGCTCAGCTGACCTTGGGACTTTCAGTGGACTTAAATTAATGGTCTGCTGTGTGGTTTGGTAACATCAGGACTGTGCCTTTTTACTTGTCAACCTTGGGCTTGTCAGTCTCAGCAGCCAGCAGCTGTCTGAGTGCAGAAAAGCCTCTAGCTCCAGTGGGCCAGGAGCAGGAGGCAGAGCTGAAGCCCAAGGTTGAGGGGCTTTCATCCAGCCCTAGAGCCTGGCACTTTGAACTCAGCCTCCCAAATTGTAAGAGAATAATTAACTCCTTTTTGCTAAGGCCATCCCACTTGTGGTATATCCTTGTCAGAGCGGCACTAGGTAACCAGAACAATCACTGAACTTAAATACTCTCTAATGCCTCTTTGCTTCCAAGAGATTCCGTGATTCTTCAACAAAGAAAAAGA